CTTTAAGTGAAAATTCTTGTATTTTTATATTGGTCATCCCATTTCCAAAGTAACAGCTTTGTTAATTAATTATAAGGCTATTAAAAATGAAATAGAATAAAAAAATAGGTATAAAAAATTAAACAAAAATATGAACAAGAATTAATTTTCAAAAATTACAGCCACAAGATTTTAAGAAAAATTAATTTATTTTTTCAAAATTAGAGACGCCGTAATTTTTAAATTAAACACAAGAATAAGAAATTTTGTTTAAAATTATTGTTGATTTTAATGTATGCTAACTTGCGCTACATTTTTTCTGTGGTAATTTTGGAACATCCTGTATAATTCAAGTAAAGTATTTCGTCTTCACGTTAGTTATGGCAAAATCCACGACACACATTTTAGTGGAAGTCATTTCATAATAAGTGACTTCTGTGGCCCGGAATCTACAAGAAAATGTATTTAGTTAAATTTCGAAAATGGTCGAAAATTGGTCGAAATTTTCATTTTTCAAAAATTTGTCTAAAAATTACGATATTTCAATGCGCGATTCTGGAGAAACGGTTGGAGTTATCTATAGAAGGAATGAAGCCGGAAGTGACTTCTGCGGTCTGAAATCTTCTAGTATTTAATTAAATTTTGAAATTGATCGAAAATGAGTCGAAATTTGAAAGTATATAGTCGATTTTTTTTTTTATTTTTCGATTTTAATTTTTCATTTCTTCCAATTCTTCAAAATTTGGAATTTTTCGGGTTTTCAGTTTTTTAATGAATAGAATTTTCAATTTTCCAATTCATTGTTTCGTAATTGTTTCGATTTTACGTTTCTTCATTCGATTTTTCAAATTTTGACTTTTCAATTTTTCTATCTTAAAATTTTTAGATTTGCTGTTTTTCGAGTTGACTGTTTTAAATTTTTCTGTTGATAGTTTCAAGAATTTTTTAATTTTTCGATTTTCCAGCTTCTTGATTTTTCAAAATTTGATACTTATGCAGTTTTTTGAAAAAAATATTTTTCGTTTCTTCATTTTTTCGACATTCCAATTCTTTAATTTACAATTTTTCCAATTTTTAATGTAAAATTTATCAGTTGATCGGTTTTAATTTTCCAGTGTTTCGATTCTTCAATTTTTAATTTCTTCACTTTCACGATTTTTTAATTATTCAGTTATTTGCTAACTTTTCGCTTTTTATTATATTTTTTTTTGATTTATCAATTCTCCCACATAGGTTTTCGAAATCATAATTTTTCGTTTCTTCAATCCTCGATTTTTAAATTTTTCAGTTTGTAATTTTTAGAGTTTCCAATTAAAATTTTTCAGTTGGAGAATTTCATAAAGTTGGCTAAAAATTCTCAAAAAATTCAGGGATGTAGATCTCGACGCGCTCATGCCAAAAATATAGCGTATTAATGGTCACAGACAAATATTTTCGAAATATTCCATGTGAAATTCGAAATTTTTGAAATTTCTAAAAATTTCGATACTTCCGTAGGCGATTCTGGAAAAAGGAAGTGACTTCTGCGGCCCGAAATCCACAAGAAATTATATTTAGCTAAATTTCGAAAACAGGTCTAAATTTGCGTACATAGTGGAAAATTTCATTTTTGAAAACGTATTCTAAAAATTCTTAAAATTTTGACACTTTTTTAGCAATTTTCGAAAATTACCTGATAATATTTTCTTGGAGATTTCGACCTTCAGAGGTTAATTTCGACTTCATTTCTTCGATAACTCCTACCATTTTTCCGGAATCGCTAATTGAAATATGGCAATTTTAAAGATTTAAAAAAAAAAATCGAATTCCAAATCGATTGTTTCTAAAATCTTGCTACGGGCCCGTAAACACGTTATATTTTTCGAATCATCACATTGAGAATTTTTTGCGGATTTTCAGATAACTTTTTCAAAAGTTCAGTTTTTCAATACCTACATCATATTTATGAAAATTTTAACTTTTGTAGACCATTTTGGAAATTACCTTATAGATTTCGACCTTGAGAAGTTAATTTCGGCCTTATTTCTCCGAAAATTCCTGCTATTTTTCCAAAAACGCCCAACGAAATAGGAAAAAATTTCTAGTTTGAAAAAAATTGACGTTCAAACCGAATATTTCCAAAATCTTACTCAAAGGCCATAAACACGTTATATTAATCGAATCAGTACGTCGAGATTTATATCTCAGAATTTTTGTAGATTTTTAGGCAACTTTTTCAAATGCTCAGTTTTTCTCCCATTTTTAATCACTGTTTTTTTACCGAACTTTTGTCGTTGTTTTTTGGTAACTTTTTTGGTTTTTTGTCCTTTTTTATCACATTTTTTGACGTTTTTTCTCTTTTAGCCACTATTTTACCACTTTTTTTCTGCATTCTGGCTTTTTTAGTTGTTTTTCGTCATCTTTCTTGATGCTTCTTCTTTCTTAACTTTTTTGGCTCTTTTTTCACTCTTGGTAACCTTTTTCTCGCCTTTTTCCTCCTCTTCTTTTTTTAGCATTTTTTTCTTTTTTTGTTTCTCGCCTTATTTCTTTACTTTTTTCTTGCCATTTTCGAGAGCCTTTTTTGGACGCTTTTTTGACCGTTTTTTACCGGTTTTTTAAGCTTTTTGAGGCCTTTTTTTCTTCGTCCCCTCTTGTTCATTGTTTCTTTCGCTGTTTTTGTTTCATCACTTTTCTTTTTTTGGCACTTATTTGTTCTCTTTTTTCAACCTACTTTTTTGACTTTTTATACCTTTATTCAGGCTTTTTCTCTTTAGACTCTTTTTTCGCTGCCTTTTCCTTCTCTTTTTTTCACCCCCTTTTTCTTCTCTTTTCCCCCCTTTTCTCCCTCTTTTTTCACAACCGTGTCTAATAGATATGCTATTTTTTTCACAAGTAGAAATCATAAGACAATAAATTGTAAAAATAAATCTTTATTTTTTTGACGCAAAATAATTTTGTTTTGATTTCTAATCCAACTTAACTTAAATCTTCAACACACTTGTCCCTGAATTAATCATTTTACTTTTCACCGTCTACCAACTACCAGGCGCATACTAAAATAATGCTAGTAGCGCACATTTATTCATTTTTTTTTTAAGTAATCACATTAAGTATTTCATACATAACCTCAGTCTTCTTTTTTAACCTTGGTAGGAAAAATTGAACTTTACTACCTCTAAACAAGTCGACAATTGCATGTTTCATGGCTACTAGTAAAAAAACTTACTTTTGCGTCCTTGCCTTCGTGTTTTTGTCCCAAAATGTTTTAAAATATGACGGTAACAATTTTTTTCTTACAATAAGAGCAAAGTAGGATTCTGGTTTTTATCAAATCTTCAGGGTATATCCTTAAAAAACAAAAAAGTATTTTCTAACCTTAAAACCACTTACATAGCCAATTATTTTTCTGTATGATCACCTAAAAAACGTTGTATATATCTTGATCAAAGAGAACTTTTTCGGCCTTTTTAGATCGGCTGAAAAAGTTCTTCTTTATGGCCTTGATACACATAACTATTATCCATTTTTTGCTCTTTTTTTCTCACTTTTGATACGTTTTTTGGCTTTTTTTCTTCTTCTTTTGAAAATTTCGACCTTCCAGAATTATCTAAAAGAAATCATTTTCGATTATTTTGTAGATTTCGACTTCCAGAACTTGCTTTCCGCCTTATTTCTTCAAAAACTACAACTAGTTTTCCTTTCATTTTTGGAAATGAAAAAATCATATTTTACTTCATGAATTAATGCTAGATTTAATATTACTTTTTACGATTTACCGTATATTTAATTTGTTGCTAAATTAAAATGTACAGTGTGTATTCAAGAGAAATATAAAAGGGACTTAGTAAAAAAAATTGTCGAAGGTTATTTCCATCGAATTTCCCTCGTCCAATAAATCCCGCTAAGGGAAAAAATGTATTCTCAATTTCTCAGTGCATGCTTAATTTCGAGTGTTTATGTTTATAGTCCGAAAGCATTCAACTAATTAGAACGTCCAGATAACAAGCATTATTCACAGTATTTCCGTTAAAAAAAATGAGATTGGAATTATTTTGTCTCCTTAACACTAATTAATTTATCAAACACTCATAAATTTGAGGAACGGAAAAATTCACTTTTAGAGGAGAGGTGAGGTATATAAATGAAAAAATTTTGATTAGCGATTTACAATGCCTAAGATCGCCTAATGACGTTTGCAAGATGTCAGACTAGTTGGTTTTGTAATTTCAAAGTTAAATTGTGAAATGTTGTTATTCAATTGGAATTTTTTCCCCAAAAATGTGTTTATTTGACAAAATTTAAATAACACTCATTTGCTACCGTAAATTTTGGAGATGACGCCAACAATCGGTTCGATAGTTTCGAAGATTGTCTGTCTAATAAAAATTCACACAGACAGACAGACGGAAACGACAATTTATTTCACAGTTTTTAAATTACCTCTTTGTCTATCTCCTTTGTATCTATAACGACCGCCAGCTCAGGTGTCTCAAAGTAGTCAGTGTCGTGTAAACAAGAAAGCTAAATAATAATTACTATAATTATGACGAAAATGTGTCGAGAAAAAAAAGTGTATGTCAATAGATTCTCTTCACGTCGAGGTATCGTACATATTTAATATACATGTTGGGTATCGATTGTGATAATAATTAGCTTGTGTAACGTTGAGTCTATAAATATGATCCCTAAAAATCACGTGTTTAAGAATGTATATGGAATGGATGAAAAATTAATGAACGTTGTCCACAAGTCCAAGTCAGACATTTTTTATGAGAATGAAACGAAATATCGTCTCTTGAATTTTTAGAAAATTTTTATACCGCGTGATTTTTTAAATTTCTGCTCTAGTTGTCCATGACGCATAATATATGTTTCCCTCTTTAGTTAGTATAAACAAAAACAACATCTTGATGACCTTGACAATAAACCCAGGAATTTAAGCAGCTCGACGACAACCCATAATGAAGCAAACTAACCATGACGCGCTTTACCATCTCACTTAATCATTTTCCGCACGGCTAACGAAATACACGTGTTTCCAGTGCCAACAATGCGGAAAGTCCTTCAAGCGCTCGTCGACGCTCACCACGCACCTCCTCATCCACTCCGACACCAGGCCCTATCCATGTCAGTACTGCGGAAAGCGCTTCCATCAGAAATCCGACATGAAAAAGCACACCTACATTCACACAGGTGAGTACACTTGTAATTTCCTTGTCGGAGAACTTATTGTGGAAACTTTAAATTTCAATATTTCATCGGGACGGATTCGGGCTGGATGTTCGTTCCGGGATGAATTATTCACAGACAAAGTTGGAAAAATTGTAGGAAATTACGGGATGTGGGTTCCTCGGGGAGTCGGGCGGGGTGGGTGATGACTCCATTAAACGAAGACGCGGTTTAAGTTTATAAATAAAATTATGGTGGATGCGCTGGGTTAATTTCGCTAACCAACAACAAAGCGCAAATTTTTGCATTTGTTCGTCATTTCCGAAGATGGCTCCCCTCGCACCAACCGGTAATTAACCACCGGAAGTAACTAGGAACGTGCATTAGGGTTGGCGGCACTGCGCTTGGCTGTCGCCACGCGATTCGCACGCTCCTGTCACACTTAACGTCTCATTAGAAAAATCACGGCCCCAAGAAGCGTAACCTTTGCCACTTCCTTGCCATTGTTTCTCGGGGAGATCTTCAATTGTGCGTATGGTAATAACGGGCACGGACATGTTGGCGACGTGCCTGATTGATAACGTTGCCAAATGATTCATAAATCTGGCGACTACAATCACCACTGACAGGAACAATTAATTATTTATTTAAATGGGGTGGACGATGCGTTACATGTGCGCTAATGGAAGCTCGCGTGTCTGAAATACCTACTAACGACATGTGTTTTTCGTGCTTTTGGGTAGGGGGCGCCGAATATGTTCGGCAATCACAACACAGGTTTTTTGGAGAGAGAATGGTTTTATGTTTGGCGACATGTTTTTTTGAGAACAATGTGCAATGGGGAAGTGGCGTCAAGTGTGCTGCCGATCGGGGGGTGGCTTTGTCGCAGTCTAGTTAACACATATAACATTAGGTAACAGTAATGTCTTGATTTGTTAACTAAATACTTTTTGGCGATATTCAGTCAAGCTGCAAAAAAAAATTAAAAAATAGCATTAACGGCAGTATCGGCTGCAGCTTTGGTTAAATTTCCAAGAAATGATACTGTGAAAAAATCTTCAGTTTTCTTCATCGTATCACTATTATGGAACAAAAATTAGTCTATAGACACAAAAAATGCAACATTCATACGCACAGAACAAATTAAAAAAATTTACTAATCCAACGTTAAATTAATTAAAAAATTAACGAAAAATTTAATAATAATACAGCAGTATCATAATTTGTCAACAGAATTATTCTTATTGTTATTAATATTTATAAACTTAAGCACCCATCAAAATTACTTGGGGTCTGTTTTAAATAAACAGAAAATATAAATTAATATAATGTATATAGTGTACAGACAGTATAAATTAACAATGGCCACTGCGAAAAATTTATGAATAATAGTATAAACAATAACACAAAAAGTGACAAGAGTTTTAAATTTTTAGGACTACACAGGTTTCCCGTAAATACGTAAAACATAATTTTTGCCATACAAAACGTTTTTTTTTTTTGACAAGAATTACTCCCTCGATTTTTAGTCTCCAGCTTTTTGAGAAATATTTGATAAACGAAATCCGAAGAATTTTTAAGACATTATTAATTTGAACTGAAATAACACCCTCTATCACAAAATTAATGGAGGCTAGTTATTAGTTTCACCCATTACGTATAGTATTAACGGAAATATTGGCTGCAGCTGCGGTTGAATTTTTCAAAAAATCATGTTGCGAAAAGTTCCCAAAATTTTCTTCATTATATTACCACTATTAAACCAAAATTAGCTTATGGACAAAGGAAAAAACTCTTTATAGGAAAAACACATTTATTACGTGCAGAACGGGTTAAAAAAATTCTAATTGATTATTTAATTAATTAAATGATTAACGAAAAATGTATTTCGTTCAACGGGATCATAATTTATGTCAGCAGAATTATTGTTGTTGATATTAATATTGATAAATTTAAGTACCCGTCAAAATTCTTTGGAGTCTGTTCTAAATAATCGAAAAAATAAATTAAAATAATGTACATATATGGTGTACAGAAAGTATAAATTAAGTATGGTCACTGCGAAAAATTTATGATTAATATTCAAAACAATGAAACAAAAAGTGACAAGAGTTTTAAATTTTTAGGACCACACAGGTTTCCCATAAATACGTAAAACATAATTTTTGCCATACAAAACGATTTTTATTTACAAGAATTACTCCCTCGATTTTTAGTCTCCAGCTTTTTGAGAATTTAATATTTGATAAATTAAATCCGAAGATTTTTAAGACATTATTAATTTGAACTGAAATCACACCCACTATTATAAAATTAATGGAAATTAGTTATTAGTTTCACCCATTACGTTTAGTAATAACGGAAACACTGGCTGCAGCTTCGGTTGAATTTTCCAAGAAATCATATGGTGAAAAAGTTCCCATTTTCTTCATTATATTACCATTATTAAAGCAAAATTAGCTTATGGACAAAAGAAAGAAGTCTTTACAGGAAAAACACATTTATTACGCGTATAACGGATTAAGAAAAGTTCTACTTCATTATTCAATTAATTACATCATTAACGAAAAATATATTTCATTCAACAGGATCATAATTTATGTCAGCAGAATTATTGTTGTTGATATTAATATTTATAAATTTAAGTACCCGTCAAAATTCCTTGGAGTCAGTTTTTAATAATCGAAAAAATAAATTAAAATAATGTATATGGTGTACCGAAAGTATAAATCAGCTATGGCCACTGCGAAAAATGTATGATTAATATTATAAACAATAACACAAAAAGTGACAAGAGTTTTAAATTTTTAGGACCACACAGGTTTCCCATAAATACGTAAAACATAATTTTTGCCATACAAAACGATTTTTATTTACAAGAATTACTCCCTCGATTTTTAGTCTCCAGCTTTTTGAGAATTTAATATTTGATAAATTAAATCCGAAGATTTTTAAGACATTATTAATTTGAACTGAAATAACACCCACTATTATAAAATTAATGGAAATTAGTTATTAGTTTCACCCATTACGTTTAGTAATAACGGAAACACTGGCTGCAGCTTCGGTTGAATTTTCCAAGAAATCATATGGTGAAAAAGTTCCCATTTTCTTCATTATATTACCATTATTAAAGCAAAATTAGCTTATGGACAAAAGAAAAAAGTCTTTACAGGAAAAACACATTTATTACGCGTATAACGGATTAAGAAAAGTTCTACTTCATTATTCAATTAATTACATCATTAACGAAAAATATATTTCATTCAACAGAATCATAATTTATGTCAGCAGAGTTATTGTTGTTGATATTAATATTTATAAATTTAAGTACCCGTCAAAATTTCTTGGAGTCAGTTTTAAATAATCGAAAAAATAAATTAAAATAATGTATATGGTGTACCGAAAGTATAAATTAGCTATGGCCACTGCGAAAAATTTATGATTAATATTATAAACAATATCACAAAAAGTGACAAGAGTTTTAAATTTTTAGAACCACACAGGTTTCCCATAAATACGTAAAACATCATTTTTGCCAAACAAAACGATTTTTATTTACAAGAATTACTCCCTCGATTTTTAGTCTCCAGCTTTTTGAGAATTTAATATTTGATAAATTAAATCCGAAGATTTTTAAGATATTATTAATTTGAACTGAAATAACACTCACTATCATAAAATTAATGGAGACTAGTTATTGGTTTCACCCATTACGTATAGTATTAACGGAAATATTGGCTGCAGCTTCGGTTGAATTTTCCAAGAAATCATATTGTGAAAAATTTCCAAAATTTTCTTCATTATATTACCATTATTAAACCAAAATTAGTTTATGGACCAAAGAAAAAAGTCTTTATATGAGAAATACATTTATTACGCGTAGAACGGATTAAAAAAAGTTCTAATTAATTAATTAACGAAAAACGTATTTCGTTCAACAGGATTATAATCTATGTCAGCAGAATTATTGTTGTTGATATTAATATTTATAAATTGAAGTACCCCTCAAAATTCCTTGGGGTCTATTTTAAATAATCGAAAAAATAAATTAAAAACATGTATATGGTGTACAGAAAGTACAAATTAACTATGGTCACTGCGAAAAATTTATGATTAATATTATAAACAATAACACAAAAAGTGACAAGAGTTTTAAATTTTTAGGACCACACAGGTTTCCCGTAAATACGTAAAACATAATTTTTGCCATACAAAACGATTTTTTTTTACAAGAATTACTGCCTCGATTTTTAGTCTCCAGCTTTTTGAGAATTTAATTTTTGATAAACTAAACTCGAAGAATTTTTTAGACATTATGAATTTAAATTAAAATAACACCCTCTATTATAAAATTAATGAAGGCTGTTTATTACTTTCACCCATTACGTTTAGTATTAACGGAAACACTGGCTGCAGCTTCGGTTGAATTTTGCAAGAAATCATACTGTGAAAAAAATTTCAAAAGTTTTTTTCATTATTTTACCATCGTGAAACAAAAATTAGCTTAATAAACAAAGGAAAAAATATATAAGATATTTACTAATTCACTGTTTATTTAATTAATTAAATAAGATCATAATTTATGTCAGCGGAATTATTGTTGTTGGTATTAATATTTATAAATTAAGTACCCTTCAAAATTCCTTGGGGTCTGTTGTAAATATTGGAAAAAATAAATTAAAATAATGTATGTAGTGCATACAAAAATAAATTACCTATGGTCAATGTGAAAAATTTAAGATCAATATTTTAAACAATGATACAAAAAGTGACAAAAGTTTTAACTTTTTAGGACCACACAATTTTCATTTGAACAAATAAAATATGATTTTTCCATCCAAAGGATTTTTTTACAAGAATAAAATTCCCTCAATTTTTTTTAGGCTCCGGCTTTTTGATACTTTAATATTTGATAAATTAACCAGAAGAATTTTTAAGACATTATTAATCTAGAATAAAAGAACTCTCTCTCATAATCTTAATGAAGTCTAGTTTCAACCATTATGTTTGGTGTTAACGAC